TCGGGTGGGATGGTGGGATAGCAGTTCATTAGAAAAAAGTTAGCTCGTAGCCATTTCATAGCAAACCAGGTGCACTGACTGCAGCCTTTGGCGTGGAGCCCACCCACGTGTCGCTCTGCTGTCGTATGCCACTGGGTACTCCAGCACAGGTGGGATGGTGGAATAGAGAGGTTCATAAGAAGTGTTATCTCCTAGCCATATCATAGCGAACCAGGCGCACGGAGTGCAGCCTTTGCTGTGTCGCTCTGCTGTCGTATGCCACTGACTGGGGACTCCAGCACAGGTGGGTGGGACCGTGGGGGATCAAAGCATTCATTCCTAAACTAGCCTCTGTGCTCTCACTGCTTGATGCGTCTCTTCTTCTCTAACCCTCTGCTCCTCTCCTCTACCATTCTGTCTCCTCGCTCCCCAAGGCCAGCTGATTCAGAAGGTGTCAGGTGCAACAGCCGTCGTGCATGAGCGCTGGAGGCCTGACCTGACCTCATGGTGGAGGGTGGTTGACGTGTCCTGATCACAGACTGTGATGCACCACCCTACCCTCCCCTCCCTCTGCAGGCCCGCTGATTCAGAAGGTGGCGGACGCAACAGCAATCGTGCATGAGCGCCGGCCAGAACTCATGGTGGAGAGGCCGTTGATGCTTGACGAGGGGTGGTTGATGTGTCTTGATCACCGACTGTGATGCACCACCCTACCGTCCCCCAAATCGCGGATGCAACAGCCATAGTCCATGAGCGCCGGCCAGACCTCATGGTGGAGGGGCGGGAAGGAGGACTGCAGTATGATGCCCTGATTCATGGTTTCCTTGCTATCCTTTCCTCTCCTCTCCTGTCCCGGTCCTCTCACTCGCAGGTCCGCTGATTCAGAAGGTGGCGGATGCTACAGCCATCGTGCATGAGCGCCGGCCAGACCTCATGGTGGAGGGGCCGCTGCAGTACGACGCTGCTGTGAACATGGAGACAGCCAAGACGAAGCTCAAGGGACGGACGAGTGAAGTGGCAGGGCAGGTGAGTCGTTAATAAGGTGAAAGGGAGGGTGCCAGGCAGGTGAGGAAATGGGTGGGATTCGGTAGATGGAGGGGTGGAGGCCAGAGCTCATGGTGGAGGGGCCGCTGCAGTACGATGCTGCTGTGAACATGGAGACAGCCAAGGCGAAGCTCAAGGGGAAGACCTCTGAAGTCGCAGGGCAGGTGGGTGCAGTGCGGTGGAGTGAGGTGAGGTGGAAATGGGTAATGCAGGGGTGTAGCGCAGCGCAGGCCAGAGCTCATGGTGGAGGGGCCGCTGCAGTACGATGCTGCTGTGAACATGGAGACAGCCAAGACGAAGCTCAAGGGGAAGACCTCTGAAGTGGCAGGGCAGGTGAGCGAGTGGGTTTAGCGCGGTGGAGATGGAAAATGGAGGGATATTGGGCCCGTTGCATTCAGTACCCAGTGCTGCTGTTAACATGGAAACAGCCAAGACGAAGCTCAATGGGAGGACGTCTGAAGTCGCAGGGCAGGTGGGTGCAGTGCGGTGGAGTGTGGTGGATATGGGAAGTTAAGGGGTGTAGCGCAGCACAGGGCAGACCTCGTGGTTCATGGTGGAGGGGCCGCTGCAGTACCCAGTGCTCATGGCAGGGCAGGTAATCGCATGGGTGGAGTGCGGTGGAGGTGGGCAGGCCAGAGCTCATGGTGGAGGGGCCGCTGCAGTACGATGCTGCTGTGAACATGGAGACAGCCAATACGAAGCTCAAGGGGAAGACGTCTGAAGTGGCAGGACAGGTGGGTGCAGTGCGATGGAGTGCGGTGTAGTGTGGTGGATATGGGAACCGGAGGGGTGGAGCGCAGTGCAGGCCTCACCTCATGGTGAACATGAAGACAGCCAAGACGAAGCTCAAGGGGAAGACGTTTGAAGTCGCAGGGCAGGTGGGTGCAAGGAGTTTCTTGCTGCGGGAGTTTCTAGTTACGAGTATGTCTGGACTTCGATCCCCTCATTCCCTCTCTCTCCCTTCCCTCATTCCCTCCCGGTCCCTCCTTTCCCTCACACCTCCCCTGCACCTCCAGCCTGAGTGCCCATTTGCCCTCATCTTAACCCTCCACTCACTCTTTGTCTCTCCTTTCCCCCATCCACCCCTATTAATCTTCCTTACCCCTCTCCCTGCCTCAATCCCGCCGCTTCCTCTCCAGGTATCGGTGCTCATTTTCCCGGATCTCAACACCGGCGACAACACGTACAAGGCAGTGCATGGGAGGCTGTTCCCCCATCCCCCCCTCTTAATCTCCTTAACCCCCCTCCCTTTCTCCTCTGCCCCACTCCCTCCCGGCCCCACCAGGCATCGGTGCTCATCTTCCCTGATCTCAACACGGGCAACAACACCTACAAGGCAGTACGAGAGTGATCTCTCCCTCTTGTAATCCCATCCCCACCTCTTAAACTCCTGTACCCCTCCCCCTGCCCCACTCCCTCCCCTCTCCTTTCCTCTCCAGGCATCGGTGCTCATTTTCCCGGATCTTAACACGGGCAACAACACGACTCTTGAGGCGCCTCATAAGCCCTTATTCCCTCCCCTGCCCAACTTCCTCCCTTCTCCTTGCCCCTCCAGGCATCGGAGCTCATCTTCTCTGATCTCAATGCGGGCATCAACACGACTCTTGAGGCGGCTCATAGCACTCCCTCCCTTCTCCCTACCCCACTCCATCCCTTCTCCCTCCCCCACTTCCTCCCATGCCCCTCCAGGCATCGGTGCTCATCTTCCCGGATCTCAACACCGGCAACAACACGTACAAGGCAGTGCAGCAGGTGAGATAGTTGTAGCAGGCAGGGTAGAGCAGCTGGTGGGGTATACATTCTCTCGTTCACATTCTACCTCTCATACTTTCCGCGAGAGACTTCTCAAGTTTCTCGGAAACTTATAGTAAAACACTTTCTGAAAAAACTTTGGAGTCCCTCGCTCCTGGGCCCGTAGTTTGCCTGCTATTTTGTGCTCCCTCCCCTTCTTCCCTCCCATTCCCACTCCCACTCGCTCACTCTTGCCTTCTTCTCCCCCCCCCCCCCCCCCCCCTGTCCAGTCCACGGGAGCCGTTGCCATGGGACCGGTGCTGCAGGGGCTGAGGAGACCCGTGAACGATTTGAGCCGGGGTTGCACTGTGAAAGATATAGTCACAACCATCGCAATCACGGGCGTGCAAGCAGCTGCCATGAAGACCAGCAGCATCAGGCAGGGCGGTTCTGCATAAGACTGTGTCATACATGCCGTATGGATGCGTGTGTGATGAGAAACTCAGAGGCCTATGGGAAGTTTTTTTTTTCTTTATTTCTCGGTGATGCTGGATGGTATCTTTACAAGGCTATGGATTGTTTTGTCTGGAAAACTAGAACAACTTATTCTGGTTTTGTTGTGGGCCAGTAACGAGCGGGCCGTTGGCTGTGAATGTAGACCACTGGGAGTATGGAGTGGCAGTGGGAGTGTTCAGAGTGGGTGGTTGAGTGAGCATTAGGGCGTATTCCTGGCTCCGTGTCATTCGGGATTCGTGTCATTCGAAATTTGCGGGAGCTAATCCGAAAATCCACTTTCCCGAGTTTTGAATTTTCCGATTGGATCCCACAATTTCGGAGGATACAGATACTGGATGACCCGGAGACAGAAATACGCCCTTACGGTGTGTCATGTACCTCGATACAACGGTATTGTGTTCCCAAATCGAGAGGTGGCAGGACCACTGCCACGCGAAGAACTACTGTGCACCACCCGGTCGGGTTGGAGATCACGTGGCACACAGTGGTTCTTCCACCTATCGGGCTGGAGACACTCGATTTCCACGCGGAAAGCACCAGCCTTGATTGGCCTTATCCATTACGTGGAACAGCTCAGCAGGAGTCATGATCTTCCCTCCTTGCTGGGCAGCTTTCCGTACCGTGGCACGCGATTACGACAATTTGGAGTGGTGGGCGAATTCTGGAGCCTGTTGCGTGGCATGCGACCTGGGTTGACTCCAAGGGACGTGCTTTTGAGAATTGCTGACATGGCGATTTATATTTATGACGCGAACATCGTGGACAGAAACAGTTGCTACGGTGTGACTCCTCCTGACCAGTCTCATATCAAATAAGTTTAACAAAGTGTTTTATAAGTTCACCGTGTTTATCACCGCCTTGTCATGTTTGTCACTATGGTTCGGAATGAATTCACCAGCAAAATGCCCTGATTGCTGACAAATAGCCATTTTTGCAGGCCGAAATATCCTTCCGCGTTGCTCGCACGGAGCGCGTCGTCGTAATGCTGGCATTCAAGCCAAGCCAAAGCAGCCTTCAGCAACAGCAATATCGAAACACCATGCCCGTCATTCGTCATTCGATTTCCCCGATATGCCAGCCAACTAAATGCTCCATTCCGCCATAGCTGTCCATCGATCGACTGTACTGTGTATGGTAGACACGCACAGCTCCTTGTTTCTCTGCCCGCAACAGAAGGATGAGCATGAACACTGCTGTCCCCAAGAGCAGAAGCTCTTCAACTTTGCAATGCTGGCGTGTCTTTCTCGCCAGTTCCTTCTCTCCTTCCTTATGCCGCCTCCCCCCCGACCCCACCCCCCCATCCCGTTTCCCTTCAACTTTCTAGACCATTTTAGGGATCTCAATTTGCTCCTCTGTCACTCCCATCCGCATTTTTGGAACGAGCAGAACCCGCGGTCCGTATTCGTAAATACACAGTGCTGGGTATAATCTCAAAGCCACCTGTAGATAATCGACTGCAGTAACGCACAAAAAGGCCCCGTAGAAAATCGTCGACACATTCCTGCGCGAATTTGAAATTCTCTGCGTCAATTTCGACAACCGTCATATGCAATCGCCGTTCTCCGCCGATTGTCGCGTCTCCATCGTCCCGTCGTCTCAATTCGTGATTGTCAAGCGCCTAACAAACAGACGTATCTCCCTGATTCCCTCACTCGTCGTCGCCCGCGTCTCATTCGTTGCGCCCGTCGTCGTCGTCGTCGTCGCCGCGCCTCCTCCGATCGCCCAGCATCATGTTGCGCTTATTTGCCGCGCATGCGGCGCAGCAATTCCAGCGCCACGCCGCCAATCGCGCGTTCAGCGCGCTCGCCGCTTCCGCTGCAGGCGGAATGGGCGGCGTCGCGGCGCGGAGGTGGGGCAGCGTGTGGAAAAAGTGCCGCCCGGATGCCGCCGCTGCTGCCCCCGGCGCCGCCACGTGCGGCGCACCGTTCGATTTCACGCAAGCCCCGTATTCGTCCACTGTTGATCTCGATTTCTCGCAGCTCACGCCACTGGCGTTCGCGAGACGCTTCAGCGCCGGTACCGCCGCGTCTGGCGGCAACATCCCCGTAGAAAGCGCCAATAAGCCGTCCGATAAGGCCGCTGCAAGCAGTGGCATTGGAGGTTCGGACAACGTCTACCTCCATCACACCAAGTACGCGTCAACAGTAACAGCTATTATCGAGATTTTCTCGAAAAACGACAAAGCTACAATCACTTGTTGCAGCTTCTGATACCTTAGGGTGGAAATACGGCGTCGTTCTTTTTCCTCACAAGAAAAAAATATTAAAACCCACTTATCTTCCAATCAATTTTTGTCTGACATGTTTTATCCTTTGGTTTACTATCCAATCGCAGCGTGGGTTCCAACGTGCAAGCCGCCGCGGTTACCGTCGGCCTGATTCACGCGCTCGAGCCGCTTTGCCCAGGCATTGGATATTTCCGCCCGATCGACTGCACCACGCACGGCGGAAACCGCGCGGAGCTGATGCGGAAAATCTTCCGCCTATCCTCCCCCGCGCGCGACATGTACGGCGTTACGCAGGACCGCGCGACGACTCTGCTACACGCGAATCGCGTGGACGATTTACTCGATGACGTGCTGATGTCATACGAGCGGTGCCGACGCGAGCACGATTTTATGGTGGTGGAGGGGACGTCGTTAAAAGACGGGACTATCTCGGCGCCCGTTAATGGGCTGATTGCGTCCGCGTTAGGAGCGCCTGCGATACTGTTAACGGACGCGCGAGTTGCTGCTGAGTCCAGCCACGTATGTCCGCTCCTACTCTCTTCCTCTCTTCTCCTCCTCTGCTCTCCTCCCCTTCTCCTGCCCTCCTGCTCGCCCCTCCCCTCGCTGCTTCTTTTCCCAATTCCGCTCTTCAAACTTTCAAACTTCTACTACCACCTCCCCCCACCCCCCGCCCCCCCGCCCGTTCCCCCGTCCCCGACTTCCCTTCCCCGTCGCGTTTTTCAAATCAAATAATCTTGACCATTCTTACAAATCTCCCCATTCCCCCCCACCTTTCCCCCCTCTCTTATCCCCTCTCCTCCCCACTCTCCTCCCGACCTCTTCTTCTTCCCCTCTCCTTCACCCTTCCCCCTCCCCCACCGCATCCCCCCCTGCAGACAAACTTCACCATGGGGGAGATCGACTGGGAGGCGGACGCGGCGCAGAGCATGCAACCCAATTCCCCCCGTTCCCCGCTGTTTCCCCCTCCGCCTCTCCTTATTCCCTCCCCATATCCCTCCCCCAATTGCGCAGCCAAACTTCACCATGGAGGAGATCGACTGGGAGGCGGACGCGGCGACTCGCCGGAGCATGCACCCCGATTCCCCCGTTTCCCCGAGCCCCCCTTATTCTCTCCCCCTCCTCCCGCCCCCCCTTTCCCCCCTTTGCGCAGCCGAACTTCACCATGGAGAAAATCGACTGGGAGGAGGACGCGGCGCAGAGTATGCTGGACCACGCGCGCATCCTAACGCCCCCTCTTTCCGCCCTTCCCCCCTTCCGCCTCCCCTTATCCCCCGCCTCCCCCCTTTGCGCAGCCAAACTTCACCATGGAAGAGATCGACTGGGAAGCCGACGCCGCGCAGAGCATGCTGGACCACGCGCGCATCCTACGGAGCACGCACGTCCACGTGGCAGGCTCCTTAATCTACCGCGCGCCCAGTGACAGCTTCAATACTCGTAGCAGCAACAGTGGTACCACAACCACCACTCGTAGTAACGCCATTGGTGAACGTCCCTCCTCCCCCCGCGGCGCCCTCCGCTCCCCGCACTCCGCGGCCATGCGCCCCCGCTCCCCCTCCCCCCCCCGCTCCGCTCTCCGCTCCGCCCACGGCTCCGCCCACCCCCTCCGCTTCCCCTCCCGCCCCGCCTCCGCCTCCCGGGCAGCCTCCCGGTCCGGGCCGCGCCTGCGTGACTATATCGAAGCCCACTCGCGCTCCCAGGCGTATATCCGCCCGTCAGAGCATCACCAGCATCAGCCAATCCCGGTGCTCGGAATAATACCAGAAGATTCCTCGTTACAGTCACTCTCGGTAGAGGAACTGAGACGGGCTGTTCTGGGGGAGGTGTTATATGGGCCGCAATCTTCCTTTGCTGCGGCTGGAGTGGCGGGAACGAGGCGCATCAACATCAGCCGCAGCCGCAGCCGCAGCAGCAGCAGCAGTAGCAGCTACTTTTTCAGCATTCCCGCAATGACTCCAGCTGTCGCAGCTACATCCCGCCACGTCAGCGGCAGCCATGACACGTCAGAACCCAGCATGTACGACGTCAGCCGCCACCTGGGAATGGGGTCCAAGGCGTCACAGATGGATGTGACTAAAACGATCGTGGCGACGGCGCCGTTTCACGAACTTGTGGATGAAATCCCGAGCGCGTGTGACTATAACGAGAACGGGGTGTACAGTGGCAGTAGCGAGGGCGGAGTGTGCATTGTAACGCACGCGAGCGACACGGACGTGCTCCTGGGGGCAATGCAGCTCAGTCAGGCGAAAGCTGACAAGCGGGTGGCGGCGGTTGTCTTATCCGGAGGCACGCCACCGACTCTCACCATCGACCACATGATAAGGGTAAGATTTTATTCTCTTGATCTATATAATACTTGTCGTTTTATTTTCCACCTCTTACTGCATGCGCTCCCTTTCTTGTGTGATTCTCTTGTCCCCCTCCCAGTACCTATCCTTCATGGTTTCCTCCTTGGCAATCTTCCCCCTCCACAATCCCCCCCACACCCTCCCACCCCACAATCACCCTCCACTCCCTCTCCCCCCTTCCTCCTTCCTCCCCCAACTTCTCACCTGCATTCAACCAACCTGTCAGCCTTGCTCCCGCTCCCCCTCTCCCCGCTCGCCCCACGAACCAGCTTCAACGAAATTCTCATCTCACTTTTTCCCCATGCGTCCCTCCCTTCCTCTCCCCTTCTCCCCCTCCTCCTTCCCCCTACCCCTTCCCCTCCCCCTTCCCGCTGTCCCCCATTCCACAGTCAACCAACCTGTCCGCCTCGCTCCCGGTCCTCCTCTCCCCGCTCGATCCGCACGTCATCTGCCTCTCAATCGCCCGCGCCCACTCCGCCCTCCACGCCTCCTCCCCCGCCAAAATCCGCCGCGCCCGGGACCTCTTCCAAGAGCCCTTTAGGAATTCTCATTCTAATTTCTTTCTCCTATACCCCTCTTCCTCCTTCCCCCCTCCCTCCCGTCCCTCCCCTCCCCCTTTCCCATTATCCCTCCCCTACAGTCCACCAATCTGTCCGCCTCGCTCCCGGTCCTCCTCTCCCCCCTCGACCCGCACGTCATCTGTCTCTCAATCGCCCGCGCCCACTCCGCCCTCCACGCCTCCTCCCCGGCCAAAATCCGCCGCGCCCGGGACCTCTTCCAAGAACACGCCGACACGCCCGCCATCCACCGCATCCTCTTCCAGGAAGCTTCCTCCGCCCACCCCGCGCACGTCACCCCGCGCGTGTTCGAGTGCGGGATTTTCTCCAAGGCCCGGGAGGCTCAATCCCACGTGGTCCTGGCAAAGGGGACCGAGCCAAAGGTGGTGCAAGCGGCGGGGGAGGTCCTGAGAAGATCGCTTTGCAAGCTGACCCTTCTCGGGAATCCCGAGGAGGTGCTTTTGCAGGCGAAAAATCAGTGCGTGGATTTATCCGGAGCTAATATTGTCGATCCCGGAGCTAGCCCGGACCTGGATCGGTACGTGGAGTTGATTTGCCAGGCACAGCTGGAGCGGGGGGTGACGATGAGCGTGGAGGAGGCTCGGCGGCTGCTGCTTTCCGACCCTGCGTCGTTTGGTTCGGCGATGGTTGCTGCGGGGGAGGCGGACGGGATGGCGGTCGGCGGGATTCGGCCGAACGGGAACGGGAGGATTGTGCGGGGGGTGATCAAGACGCGCCCGGAAATGCCCGTGGTTTCGGGGGTAGTTTTCATGTGTCTCCCGGATAAAGTGCTGGTTTATGGAGACAGCGCGGAAAACACCCTTCCTCTGATTGGTTCCAGCTCCACAGCTGTGGCCCCGAGCCTGGGCGCTTCGGCGCCGACCAATGGGATCGCCACTGCCGATCCAACGGCTGAGGAGCTTGCGATGATCGCCATGTCATCGGCTGACACGGCGGCAGCCTTTGGCGTGGAGCCACGTGTCGCTCTGCTGTCCACACAAGCAAGCCAGCAGGGAGCTGCCCGTGCTGCTCAAGGTGAGGGGATAAAGGATAATGGCTCGAGTTGAGGGGATAAGGGAAAGACACACCAGGAGCATGGGAGGGAAGGTTGGGGGGCAGGAGGGGTGTGGGGGGCTCGACGGTGAAGGGGGGGATTGGGGAGGGGAAAGGGGGTGGGATGGTGGGGAGGGAGGGAAGAAACGGACAGAAGAGCGGGTGTTTCCTGGTCCGTTGTACTGACTTCATTACTTACTCCTGATGTAATAAAGATGTCACACACATCAGACCTTAACTCAATCCCACCCTTCTTGCATCATCCCCTCCCTACTTCCTTGCCCCCACCCTACCTCCCCTTCATCTCCCCTCCCAGGTCGTCTCACGGAGAGAATAGAGGAGGCGGCGCATATAGTGAAGGAGCAACGGCCTGGCCTTGCAGTCGAAGGGCCTCTGCCATATGACACCGCCGTGGGTGACAAAAAAGGAAGTGGCGGGTCCATTATTTGTGATAACTCGGATGTGGCGGGGAAAGCTACAGTGCTGATTTTCCCGGATATGCACAGCAGCACGGATATGTACAAGCAGCAACGGACATCGGGAGGTGTAGCGATGGGGACTATACTGCAGGGATTGAGGCGGCCTGTCAGTGACTTGACAAATAGCGATACTGTGAGGGACCTGGTTACCACGATTGCCATAACTGGTGTGCAGGCAGCTACTATGGCATCTGATCATGGTACATCTTGTTAAATATTTAGTTGTAGTTAGTATGCCGATTTGCTTCATTGTCTGTTAAATAGAGTGTACTACCGTACAATAATAGTTGGGTCACCAAGCGCCCTCTTGTTATGTGTAAGGATTTACAGAATCCTTACTGAGGCACTCGTTAGCGAGGCCATCCCGAGGGTCACGCGACGAACCTGTCCTTTCTATTTCGTCGCACCGAACCACCCCCGAGTCGCCTCCGCACCGATCGCATCCATCACCGAGCCATCCTCGCCCAACCTCCCCGCCTTGCTAGGTTTTCCCCTATTTAGGCCTCGTCACTTCTATTGTATTCAGCAATTCGGTAATCAGTCATTCTCGTTCTTCGTTTTACTGCGCACTCTGCAAGTTCATTCATAACATTATAAATGAACTTGCAGAGTACGCAGAATATCGAGAATGAGAATTACAGAATGGAGAAACAATGAAGTAGCGAGGCCGAAATAGGGGAAAACCTAGCTAGGCGGGGGGTTCGGGATGGGATGGCTCGGTGATGGTTGCGATTGGAGCGGAGGCCGATTCGGGGTTGGTTCGGTGCGACGAAATAGGCAAGACAGGCTCGACGTGTGACCCTCGGGATTGGCTCGCTAACGAGTGCCTCAGTAAGGATTTGTAAATCCTTACATCTCCAAGTTTCAACGTAACAGAGAACTGCCGTGCCGTTCCCATTACAATCTGTTCAAGAAAGTACTACAAAATGATACCAGTTAGTACGACCATTGCAGTTGTGTTGTGGCGGGGCATAATCCGACCTCTGACCTGACCCGAACAGACTGAACCGAACAGGGCTGGGCGAAGTAGGAATGCTCCGCACTTGACGGTGGCTTTCGGTTTTGGCAGTGTGGAGTTGAATAGCTCCTTCAATTCATGAATTGAAAGCTCGACAGTTGTCATGTCGCATCGGCGGTCCCCAAATCCAACGAGCCCTGGCTGACGGATGACGACAACTGTCTGGTTTTCCCGACGGTCCGTCTAATCCCATGTGACAAGCAGTTTGTTTCACAGCTGCCGTGCCACGCGTCCACACGCCCTTTTTGTCGCTGAGTTGTACCAGTCAAAACGTAATTGACCGTGCGGGGTGTTCAACCTCGTTCTTCGGTTTTTGCAGTGCTGTGCTGACTGGAGCGTGAGCGTGATGCAACAGAAAAGAATCTGCGCACCGACACTCACCATTTCGTAATCATGGGAAGGCAACAGCCACCCCCGCAGCCACATTTCGTTAGCAAATCAACGAGTTTGAACAACCAAACCGAATGTCCCTGGGGGCAGCGAGTGGCTGACTTGAATTGAAAGCAGCCGAAAGCTTTTCCCATCAGCCCAACCCGTTGCATGCACTCCACCTGCCCAGTGGAAAACAATACCACTGGCCAGAGGCAGGCAGCCCGTTTGAAATGTCGAAGTGGGCGTTTCGTTCTCCACGAGGAGAGATGAGGGGAGATGGGGGGATGGTTTGGGGCAGGTATGCAAACTGTTTGCGGGTACGGGCAGGGGTCAGCCACGCCCGAGCAGAATGAAGGAACGAACGATCTGAACTGGACGAGCAAACGAAGGGGGCCTACCGAGACGAACTATTCGGCCAAGCCGCGCCAAGAGGTTGGGATAGGGCTGGGCAGCTGTTTTGACGGAACGGAACAAGTGGGTACCGTAGAGAAGCAGGGTAGCGTGGTTGGGTACGGCACGTAGGGGGAGGGAAGTGTTTTGACTTGATATAACTTCGGTGTGCGCGCGGCGTGTTGTTGATTTGAGCGGAGCATAGCGAAGCGCGCGCCCAGCCCAAGCCAGTGCGGTTGCCCGCCGCGTGCAGCGCGGTGCAGCTGGCAAGGCAAACCCACCTCCCCCATCACCACCGGCCGCGGGGTGACAGCTGCGCTGCGCTGTGGTCCGAAGCGGTGCAATGCACTCCACACCCTGCTGTTGCATCTGCTCTCTCACTCGCACCAAACCAGAAAGAATTACCTTCCATTCACCCCCATTGCCAGAAATCCGCGCCCCCTCCACCTCCGCATATCGCGTCACAGTTATTCCACCAGTCGTCGTTTGTCGCCGATCGCGTACCCCACTGGTTTTTAACTTTGAAGTCGTTCACATCCTGACCCAGCGATATTTAGTGTTAGCATCCAATGCAAGGTTCATAAGACTCGTGAATCGCCGTGGCTCCAGTTGTCTGAACTCGTATTCCAAGACTTCTGACTTCGCTCTAGCCACTCTGCTCTGCCCAAGCTCAGCGAAAATAATTACGGATTAATCGTTTTCTTTCTACTCAGCCGCGACCGCGAGTCCTTCATAGGAGAGTTCTTGCTGCCACAAATAGCATCTTCACACCAATAGTATACAGTCATGGAGCATCGGTCAACTTCAGCATCCTCACACCATCACCATCAGCACCGCATCGAACTCCTCCCAACCGCCGCGCTTCGCGCGAACTTCACCGCAGTCGACGTGCTCGGCAAGGGGCAGTACGGCGTCGTCTGGCGCCTCGTCGACCGCCGAACCGCGCGCGAGTTCGCATGCAAGCGCGTATCGCGAGCCGCGTGCGGGGAGAACGCGCACGCCGCGGCGCGGCGGGAGATCGAAATCATGGCGAAGCTTCGCGGAAAGGGCTCGGGACATATAATTGGATTGGAAGCGGTGTACGCGGACCGAGATTCGTTATACATGCTCATGGAGCTCGGGACCGGAGGGGACCTTTTAGCGAGGATACAGAACGAAGGGATGCTTAGCGAAGCGGAGTCACGAGATATTTTCGCGTCGGTGGCTCGCGCCGTTAAGGAGTGTCACGATCACAGCATAGTTCATCGCGACATCAAACCCGAGAACATCCTTCTCTGCCCGAAGAAAACTGCTCCCGGAGTCGCTGCGACGGATTCTTTTTCGCACAACCTTTCGCAATCGTCCTCCGCGGCGGGTAACCCGCAACACGTCGCGAAACTCACAGATTTCGGCCTGTCGCTGGAGCTGCCACGCTGGCAGCAGGTGGTTGGGTACGCGGGGAGCTACCCATACGAAGCGCCTGAAGTGATGGCTTTAGAGCCGTACGATGAATCTGCTGATATCTGGAGCCTCGGCGTGTTACTGTACGCGATGCTTTCGGGAACATGGCCTCTGTTCCGTAATAACGTTAGAGAGCTCGACGATATCGCGGATTGGGAGGCGCCCTGCTGGTCGTCGATCTCGGACGACGCGAAGAATCTCATCCGTTGGATGCTCGCCGTGGACCCCCTCATGCGCCCCACGATCGACCAAATACTCGCTGACACGTGGCTGGCTCCGCCTCCCCCTCCGCCCTCCCGCCGCTTCACCACAGCAGATGACGTCTCCGCCGCGTTTCCCGCCGCTATTTCCGCCCTTGTTGCAATCCCTGACATCAAGTTCCCCCAACCTGACTTTCCCGAGCCTAACTTATCCAAACCTGCACCCAAGAAGCTGGAGATTTCTCTCCCCGAAGCTCCAGAACACCCGGTCAGCCCAATAAAAAACTCTCCTCGTGGAAACTACTTCAGCAGCCCCAAGCACGCGGCAGCAGCGTTGAAGCACGTGGTCCCCACGTGCCTGGCTTTCAAGATGCGCGCCGGGCGGCGAGGATCGTCTCGTGTGGCGCCGACAGCTGTCTGCCTCTCGCAGTCAGTTGACGGGGCGGCAGGAGCCAGGCAGAGCCGCCCAATCGCGGCGTAAACGGGCGGCGGAGCTCGCGACAACAGCCCACTCTCAAGGATTCCTTGCGACGCGGTTATCGTGCAGCTTCGGAGAATGATTGCTTCGGTTATCACGGTTCTGTACATCACTCGGACATCTCAACCGGCACCACAATCGGCATCACAGGGAGAGTTGCCCAATTGCCCATCTTCCCTCGGCCTCTCAGGTTTGGGCAAATGTGCAACTCCCTCCCTCCTCCCTCCATCCTCCTCCCCCTTCTTCCCTCATTCCCTCCTCCCTCCTTCCTCCTCACCCGTCCCTAGTACTTCCTCCCTCCCTCCTCCCTGTTTCCTCCTCCCTCCACCCTCCGCCCTCCCCTCTCTTCCTTTCTCATCCCCCAATCCTAACCTCCACTGTCCCATCAGCTTCCTCCTCCTGTCACACCGAGTCCCTTCACTGATTGCAGCAGCTTCTGTGAATTCAGCGGTCAGAAAATTGTGTGACAGACCTCCCTCCCAGTAAAGCAGCACAGTAGTGTGCTGTGCTAGATCCCACTAGTCAGTACAATACGTTTGATATTAACCTTTTACGGTAGATGGTACATAATTTCAGTTGTAGAGCTCTGTACAGTTGTACACAACAAAATATTATACATATAATTCTACATATTACGGTATCTTGACGAGCCAAAGCCCTGAAATTGAAGGCTGTGACGAACTTTGCCAGGATGATCGCCAGAACTGATACCGTAACACCATGTGGGTACCATGCCCACATCCATGCACCATCTGTGTCCCTGCCCCAATGTTTTTAGAAACGGATGGTAGCATTTCATCAATAGACAGTAAACATCGCCCCAAAAGACGGAAACACAAAAAATAAGTGTACAATTCAATCTGCAAATGAGTGGGTTCATCATTTGAGTCCCTACCCTAGGAAGGTGATGCAGCAGGAAGGGTCGAATTTAAAGTCCACTCAGTTTGAGACCTGCAATTGAGGGGGTGGTGACGGAGAAATGAACCCTGGTATGGATACAGGTCTAATCTCCCCCGTTTCTTCATCATCTGAATCCCTCGAAGGGTGATGCAGCAAAAAGGGCCGTTTTAGTCCACTCAATTTGAGACCTCCAAATGAGTGGGCACAGGTGACGGCGGGGTAAACCCTGGTATGGGTACAGGTCTAATCTCCCCCGTCTCTTCATCATCTGAATCCCTCGAAGGGTGATGCAGCAAAAAGGGTTCCCGGGAAGGGTCAGGGGGAGAGAGGGAGGAGGAGGAGGCGGTTGAAGCTGCGATGAACCGGGGAGTGGGGAAGTGAGAGGAGGGGAGAGTGGGGATGGAGGTGGGTGGGGTGGCAGAGGGAGGGAAGGAGGAGAGGGAGAGTCCGGGAGGGTGCAGTGCGGTGATGGGGTTTGTGGGGGAGTGGGGAGATGGGGAGGAGTGGGAGGAGGAGGATGAAGAGGTGGAAGAAGAGGAGGAGGAACGGGAAGGTCTGGCTCTCCTGCTGCTTCCAGGCGCGGAATGTGAGGGGTTGGGTGCGGTATTAGAGGAGTTGGATGCGGTGGGCAGGGATGGGAGGGGTGAGAAGGAGCGGATGAGGGGGTAGAGCAGGGAGGAGACGAAGAGAGCAGTTGAAGCAGCGACAGAGGAAGACGCGGCGAGAGCGGCGGTAGTGGTGGTGGTGTTGGTAGCGGTGGGGGTGGAATTGAGAGGAGGAGGGGAGGAAAGGGAGGGGTGGGTGCGGGGGTGTGCGTCTCGCTTGCAGACGGGGCAGAAGGGGCGGCGGGTGGTCAACCACTGGTCAACGCAGTCAACGTGGAACTCTGCAGGGAAGCGAGGGGGAGAGGTATTGGGAAGAGCACAGCAAAGAGAAACGAGTCAGAAGAGAGGCAGAAGGGTCGGCGGGTGGTCAACCACTGGTCAACGCAGTCAACGTGGAACTCTGCAGAAAAGCTGAGAAAGAGGCCAACGTACCATGAGAAAAGAGAACAGATCATGCATCCCATTCCGCTCATCCCATTCCGCTCATCCCATTCCGCTCATCCCATTCCGCTCATCCCATTCCGCTCATCCCATTCCGCTCATCCCATTCCGCTCATCCCATTCCGCTCATCCCATTCCGCTCACTCACCATGCGAGCAGGGCAGAAGGCGCAGCCTATCCCCCCACTCATAATCCTCCAGGCAGATCGCACACGTCTCCATCTCTCTGCCCCCTCCCTCTCCCCCCTCTCCTCCCTCCTCCCCTCCTCCTCCCCCCCCTGATTCCACTGCCCCCTCTGTCCCCTCACCTCCCTCTCCTCCCTCTCGTCCCTTTCTTCCTTCTCCCCCCTCTGCCCCCATTGCAGCAGCAGCATTGTCACTGCTATTATCACCGCCGGTACAAACACCAATGCTACAATCACCATCCTCACTCCCATCTGCAACTGACACAGCCACACACCCTCTGGGTAGCAGTGGCCTGCTTTCCTCCGCCTGCTCCGGTGCTACAGCTGCTGCTACAGCTGCTACAGCCGTAGCTCGTCCTGCTGTTCTTTCCCTCCCTAATTCGCCTTCCTCTGGTGATGCTACAGCTGCTGCTACAGATGCTGCTGCAGCCCCGCCTGCCTCCTTTCCACCTACCCCTGTCCCCTTCAACCCTTTTCCCCCACAGCTGCTACAGCCGACCCTGCTACAGCCACCACCAAACACTGACACACTACCCGAATGCTTCCCTTTTGGCGGGAAAACCAATTCTGGAAGCGCCTTGACCTCCTCCTCTGACAGCCCGGGCGGCTCCTGACGCGCCGCTAGCAGCCGACTGGCGCCGCCCGCGCCCATGGCTGTGGCGGCGGCTGCTACAGCCTGCCGCAGCCTGTGCCGTCTGATAAAGAGAAACGAGGCGAGGACTAAAGAGAGGGAGAGGAGGGAGACTAGGGATGCGGTAATTACAGACCAGGCCGCATTGTCGAAGGTAGGGAGGAGAACGCAGATGGTAGGGGGAGATTCGGGGGAGGAGAAGGGGAGAGAGAAGGGGGAGAAGGGGGAGGGGAAGGGGGAGAAGGGGGAGGAGGAGGCGGAGGAGGAGGAGGAGGAGGAGGAGGAGGAGGAGGAGGAGGAGGAGGAGGAGGAGGAGGAGGAGGAGGAGGAGGAGGAGGAGGAGGAGGAGGAGGAATCGGAATCGGGCGATTGGGAAAACCCGTTGATGATGTTGATAAGGGCGTGGCCGGAGGAATGAGTGACGAAGACTGCTGGAATGGCGATTCCCCACATGTGCCGCCCTGACACTGGGAGGGGGAGGGGGATGGTAGCGAGAGAGGGTTGGGAGGAGGGACAGAAGGGAGAAGCGGTTTGTTGATAAGGGTGTGACCAGCGGATTAAGTGACGAAGACTGCTGGAAAGGCGATGCCCCACATGTGGCGCCCTGGCACTGGGAGGGGGTAGGGAGAGACGGGTGGGTGTGAAAAGGGACGGCAGGGAGAGGGGGTTGGAAGGGAGAAGGGAGAAACGAGACGTCTTGAAACAAAAGTGATGGGATGGTGATTACCCACATATGTGGTGCCCTGACACTGGGAAGGGGGCAGAGGAGCGAGGGATGGGACGGGAGGGGGTTGTGAGGGAGACGGAGTGGTGGGAGGTGGTGGGAGGGAGAGACGAGGAATGAGTGGGCAAGAATTGCTGGGGAGGGCTAAGTGTGAAAATTTTCCGGAAAGGCAATCCCTGACATGTGCTGCTTCCAATCCCCCCATCCCCCCCCTTTCCGGGGGATTGCCCTTTCCTCCTCCCTCCCCCCCTTCCAATCCCCCCATCCCCTTTCCCCCACCGCCATCCCCCCCCTCACCTCCCCTTTTCAACAACAGACCCACCCCTCCCCACCCCACCCCACTCCATGCCACTCCACGTACTCGTTATAAGCCTCCTCCCGTACACCACCGCGGCGGCGTACCCCGCGCGCTGCGCGTTAAGAGCCTTCACGTCGAAAAGGCAGTTGCCCCTCTCTATAAGCACAAACTCCGCCTCCGCGAATCCCTCCGCCGATTGCCCCGCGGATTGCCCCGCGGATTCCCCCTCCGCGGACTCCGCCCCCGCGGGGTTCGTGAGCGGCTCGCATGCGTCGTAGGGGACGGCGCAGCGGAGCACTCCGCGCATGCCCGTCGAGGGGATGAGGCCGCCTGGGGGAAGCGGGAAGCAAGGAGGAAGGTGGAAAGGAAAGAGAAGAGGAAGGGGTACAGAAAGGGGAAGGGGAATGGGATGGGGCAAGGGGAAAGGGAACGGGAAGGGGAGGCGGAGGGGGAAGCGGAGGCGGAGGGGGAAGCAGAGCGGAAAGTGAGCACTTAAGCTCCTCGCGACCTATGTAGGGGGCGGCGCGGCGGAGCACTTTGCGCATGCCCGTCGTGGGGATGAGGCCGCCTGGCGGAAGGGGAAGGTGGGGGGGAAGGGAAAGGGGAAGCGGAAGGGGAAGGGGGGAATAGGGGGGCGCAAACAAGATCGGTTGTGGTTTTTTTTCAGTGTATTTTTAATAAAACATTGCTGGGGAGGAACGACTCAAAGCTTCTCGGAGCCGCTGCAGGGAACGCGGGGCGGAATACTCCGCGCGCGCCCTGCGCGGAACGCTCGCGGCGGAAGTCACAGCGCTTAAGGCGGAAGGCGTAACAGGGCGAGGGGACGGTGGGGGAAAGGCAGGAGCATATACGCGGAGAGACAGGTTACTTAAAAGAGAAGGGACAATAATCTGGAAAAGCGAAAAAAAACAGTAATGAAAACAGCTTGACTTCCATAGAATGTAAAAGAATATGTACTATTTTATACGAAAAAAGATACAAGCATTCCTTCGTCTGGTAGTTTTCTCGGAAAGCCGAAGCACACGTGAAGGAATTCCGAAGGAATATTCTAACGCGTGCGTGTGATTTTAAGATGCGAAAAGCCCGCTGGAAGAAGGGAGGGGTAAGAAGGCGGAGGGAAGGGGTGAGGGGAAGAGGAAGTGGGGGAAGAGGAAGGGGGGGAAGAGGAAGGGGGGGAAGAGGAAAGGGGGGAAGAGGAAGTGGGGGAAAGCGACGGCCGTACCGAACGCGGCGTCGGCGTCTTCAAACGAGTACGTGGCGTTGTCCGGAGCAATCATGATGATGACGCCAGCAACCGGCGCGACACGCTGACACGCGACTACTAGGAACGCGACGAAGCACCATAGCGTCTGACTGACAGGTGCGCAGCTGCGCGCGTGACTGCGCGCGTAACTGTGCGCTGCTGCGCCGCTCCAGCTGCTTCGCGAGTGACTGCGCGCGTGACTGCGCGCCTCACTGCGCGGTGCTGCGCTCCCCCAGCTGCTGCGCGGCTGGCTGCACGGCTGGCCCGCTCAGTGCCGAGCCTCCGACCGCGTTTTGTGATGGCTCTCATTTAAGCAGCTCCGATATTGAGTAACCTACGAGAATGCCGTGCTGGCGCCACGGTCCCTAAGCGGTACTGATATGTACTAAGCTACTGATACCGATACCGACAGCTATCCATCATCTAGATTCGTCGCCATGAGTAGTAAGCTTATAACGGGTACGAGTTGATACTGAACTGCACACACATAATTCGAGAGTCCTGGAACGCGGAAAACCGTAGCCAAGAAAACGTTGAATCGAAGCTGGTGTGAACTAGTTCGTCTGTTGTCTCTTCAAGCGAAGTCCCCATGCGTCGAATCCAACAACCAATGCTGTCAGAACGAGCAAATAGGTCGTCTTCTAATTCCGCCATGCCCAGAAGAGTGTTCGAGAACGCGGTGCACGGGCTGAATTTACGGTCCAACACGGTTTCACAGGAATCCACAGAGGTGGAGTGTGTTTCCGGTGTGTGGAACGTTCACAGCACAGGAAGAATCTGATCTGAGTCGTACCTGTCCGTGGTGGCGGAACACGAATGAGTTCGCGGGGACGTGGCACAACGGTTCTGGTGGTCACGTCCGTGTAGCCATATGGTCAGAAGGGTTTCTGTACGGCGAATTACGTTACGGAGAGGTAACGAGGCGATGAAGTGCACCGCTGGCAAACCCTAAAATTGGGAAATGCTGCACTTCTTATTACATTCTGAAAGCACCACTCAGGACCGTAAGCAGCCAGACTGCAACGCTTTAGAGTACATTGAACCCCGAACGGGCTGAAATGAAATGACGAGGGTACCGTAGCCCGTCGTGTGAAATTGGGGGGGAAATCTTCGAGATTCCAACTCGGACTTGCTTGAAGAACATATTTATTTGTAAAAAGGAAATCAAATATTTATTTGTACACTTAATTGCAAGGAGAAAGTTGCTAGGGTGCTCGGGATCGTACCCAGTGATCTCCGGGCACCAGAGCAACTCTTCCTGTTATCCTATAACCCTACACCAGCTGCGAACACTCGTACAGGATCACCTACAAACGAAGATGCTTAGAGAACTTCGATGGGGATGCACGACGCCTCTCTGTGGCGTGTGATCGGGGAGAAAGCCTTCATGACGTGGTTCAGAACGGTGCGGGGCGATAGCTTTCCGCCGCGGCGAGGCTTCTCTGTATTTCTCCCGCAATCACTGTCAGTGCTATTGGTTGCACTCGCCGAAGACATGCTTCCCACCGTGTCGGAATTGGCTTTGACAATTCCCGAGGTGATGTAAGCGTCGGATTGCGTATCAACGGCATCCGTTCGTCCGTCGGACAAATCGACGGTCTCCATCTCTTCCTGAGCTACTGCCGCTACTGCTGGGCGAACCCACGGATGCGCCAAAACCTCGTCAATCGTGAACCGTTCGTTCACATCCACGCACAGCATCCGACGGATGAGATCCTTCGCATCACCCGACACATGCTTCCAGTCGTCCGATGCAAAAT